TTGAACCTCCAGCCTTCTGGTTAGCAGTCAAGTGCCTTTAGGCACTATGCTACCAGAGCTCAAATATGTAAAAAATCAGTTATCCATTCCTGAAAAATTAACTAAATGAGATTAAAGTGCACTGCCTTAATTTAATATAAAGCCTCTACAAAAACCCTGCAGCAGGGGAAAGTTCTTCCATACCAGTGGAGTAAGGACCTCTGGAAACCCATGCTTCCACAGAGGAAACAAAAATGTTGGCCAATATTGTCAAAGGCAACGTTTTGAGAGCTCTGGGAAGTAACCAAAGACTTGCAACAACACAAAACTCAAACCAAACTCACTGCCTTCAAGTCGATTCCGACTCATAGCAACCCCTATTGGGTTTCTGAGGCTGTATATCTTTACAGAAGTAGATTGCCCCATCTTCCTTCTGCAGAGAAGCTGGTGGGTTTGAATCACTGACCTTCTGGTTAGCAGCCACATGTTTTCTCCACTACGCCACTAGAGCGTCTTTGCAACAAAACAAGGAGTGCTTATTTAAGAAAAACCGCTGAATCTCAGTAAGAACAGAGAGCTTTGTGGCATTTTCATTTGCCCTATTTCCACCCCCGTTTCCCCAGCTCTGTGGTAGCCTTGAAACCAACAGCTTTGCAGCTATAAAACAACAAACAAACAAACAAAAAACCCTCATTGCCACTGAGTCGATGTGACTCATAGCGACCCCTTCTTGGGTTTCCGAGGCAGTTGTTGTTATGTGCTGTCAAATCGACTCCGACTCATAGTGACCCTTCCTTGGGTATCTGAGGTGTTATCTCTACAGAAGTAGATTGCCCAGTCTTCCTTCTGAGGAGTGGCTGGTGGGTTTGAACCTCCAGCCTTCTGATTAGCAGTCAAATGGCTTAGGCACTATGCCACAAGAGCTTCAGTGGCTGTGAAATCCAGCAGCCTAGCAGCCATTAGAAGGAGCTCTGGTGGTGTAGTGGTTAAGGCATTTGGCTGCTAACCAAAAAGTTGTTGGTTCAAACCCATCAGCTGTTCTGTGGAAGAAAGATGAGGCAGTTTGCTTCTGTGAAGATTTACAGCCTTTGTATGCTTCAGGTCTGGAACTGAACTCACTGCTGTGGCTTCCAGCCCAACAAAAGACAGGCATATGGGGTGAACATTTACGTCAGGTAGGCGCACTCCTTGGAGTGATCATTACAGCGAAACAGAAGGGCAGTGTTTGTACAGGGAGACAGCTGGGGGATGGGGTGGCAGAAGTGCATGGGAGGGAAGGCTACAGGGAAAAGGTAACTATGGGGCGGGGAGAAGAGAACTCTTACATTGTGGGGAATTACAATCAATGTCAGGAAACAAAATGTGTATAACTGCTGTATGGAAAATGAATCTACTCTGTAAACTTTCACCCAAATCACAATAAAAAATTAAAAGGGGAAAAAATAAAAAAAGATTACTGCCTTTGGAAACCCTCTGGGGCAGTTCTACACTGTCCTAAAGGGTCACTATAGCTTGCTCTCTGTGCACAGCACTATCCCTAAAGCATTTGTTGAAAACAATCAGTGGCAACTGCTTAACATCACAGCTACCTGAGGAGGTGATACCAGTTGGGGTCAACGATAGGCCGAGTAACACCTTAAAAGGAAAAACTGGAGACTCAGAATTCCACAGGGGCTTTTGTAAAGCTCTGAAGTACTGGGGAATAGAGAAGGCTAGGGCCTAGGGCTCTGTGCATGTCCAGGGCTGTGCACAAACTGAGTCCAGGCTTGGGAGGGCCCTCATCACTCACCTCTGGCTGACCTTCAGACCCTGCACAGCCAGGCAGTGAAGGCCAAGTGTGAGTGGGAAGCTGCCTTTTCAGAGAGGTCTATCCACATACCTCCTCTCCACACCTCCTTTTGGAGAAATACCTATTCAAACCTTTGCTCATTTTTTGTCCTCATTTTTAGTTTTTTATCGTCTTTTTGCTGTTGAGTTGTAAAAGTTTCTTACATATTCTGGATATTAGACCCTTATCAGATACATGATTTGCAAATATTTTCTCCCATTCTGCAGGTTTTCATTTCACCTTCTTGAGAGTGATTTTTCAGTCACAAAAGTTTTAAGTTTTATAAAGTCCAATTTATTTTTTTGGCTTGTTGCTTGAGCTTTTGGGATCATCTCTAAGAAACTGTTGCCTACTACCAGGTCATGATGATATACACCTATGTTTTCTTCTAAGAGTTTTATAATTTTAGCTCATATATTTAGGTCTTTGACTCATTTTGAGTAGTTTTTATATAGTGTATAAAGTATTCTTACTATGTGGCTAACTAGTTATCCATGCACCATTTGTTGAAAAGACTATCCTTCTCCAATGAATGGTCTATTAATGAGGCTGTTTCCTTTCCTGTACATATATACATATGTATTTATGTTAAACCAAACTTACATAGCTGAAACAAACACCCAGTTGTTCATTATTTATTGCCCTATTTAAATATGTTGTGGTTGTTATTGTAGGTGTCAGGCTCCCACACATAGAGACCCTATGTACAACAGAACAAAACACTGCCTGGTCCTGAGCCAGCTTCACAATCCTTGCTATACCTGAGCCCATCATTGCAGCCACTGTGTCAATCCATCTCACTGAGGGCCTTCCCCTTTTCTGCCCTCCACTTTACCAAGCATGATATCCTTCTCCAGGGAATGGTCCTTTCTGACAACATGACCAAAGGAGTTGAGACAACATCTGGCCATTCTCGCTTCCAAGGAGCATTCTGCCTGCACTTCTTTCAGGACAGATTTGTTAGCTCTTCTGGTGGTCCATGGTGCTTTCAGTATTCTTCACCAACACCACAACTCAAAAGCATCAACTCTTCTTTGGTCTTCCTTATTCCCCGTCTAGCTTTCACATACATATGAGGCTATTGAAAATAGGAAGGTTGGGCAATCTACGTCCGTAGTGTTATTGCCTCAGAAACCCAAAGAGGGGTTGCTATGAGTCAGGTCTGACTCAATGGCACATAACAAAAATATGACTAAATTCAATTAGCTAATAATTTGTTTAGGAATCTGCCTTTACATTTACAGTAAGGTTGGCATATAGTTTCTCATTCATGGAATATAATTTTTCTTGTAATGGTTTGGTATCACAACATTGCAGAGAATGTCAAAGTGCTT